ATAGACGGCTAAAACCCAACAGCCTAGCATATCCTACGACTGCGTTAGACAGTCGACAGGTATCTCACAAGCTGCCGTAACAGACCACAACTGTATCTAATGTGTGCCGTTGACAAATGTGAGAAAATAAAGATCCAAAAGTGATGTGCATTGTACTACAACATAAGACACGTCACTAAGATACTACTTCAGAAAAGGAGTGATGACCTTGTACGACTAGGAAAAATGGAAACAAAACGAGTTTACACTGTGAAACCTTGAAAGGACTTTTTAGAATTGCCGAAGAATTTCGTTAGAAGTTTGAACCAAAATTACTAAGTTTGTATCCGCAAGACAAATCAGAATGACCAATTCTGTGGATGGCAGCCCCCATCCAAGAAATAGCAGCCTTTCCTCAGGTGCCTTGGGCAGTGCGGAGACGCGTACCTATCAGCTCACCCGCACAGGGACTCCTTGAAGGACAAAGGTTCTCAGTCTGAAACATCCCACTCAACACGGCCTCACTTTTTTTTTCATTTATGACTTTATATAGAATAAAATCAAATTTTCTAAAACTGAAATTTCTTATGAGAAGATCTGACTCCTCTGAACCATTGTTCTGTGTTACAGAAACTCAGCTATCACTTTGGACCTCTTGCTAGGAAAAATAGCTTGCGATCTTTTTGTTATCTAACCAAAAAATGTTTCTTAGTTTTCCGATGCTTCCCATAACTGACCTTATCTGCTATGTCATCACACACTGATAAGAACAGCATCCAAACCAGTGATTTGAATTATTTTCATTTTCTACATTACTTTTAATTTCACAATCCCTCCGTAATTCCATTCCTACTTTTGTTCTCCTCTCTCTCTCTCTTCCCAAAGAGACTATCTTAAAACTAAGATGAGAGATAAATCTTTTATTTTACTTTAATACTCACGTGATATGGACTTTATTGTTTGGGCAGCAAACCCGGATTCAGGAAATTATTGTTTTATATACTTATATTTTGGAACCGAATTACAGTGTTAAATCATTTGCAGAGAACCATTCCTGAATTATAAGAACCATTTCTTACATGGCAAAAGAGTCACTTCAGCGTGACTTCAGAAAATCTGGCTCCCAATAGGATCAAGAGCCATGTTGGGCTGGTCATTTGAGGAGAGTCTTTTGTCATTTGGGGCTTCTTCTCACAATATCGTACTGAAAGCTGAGAACCTGATGCCAAATTAATTTTTTATACCAAACCCACCTATATTGTAATTTTGATGTGTGTAATGGGATTCATAATTCACTCCAGAGCTTCTTCAATTCATGCATCAATTGCTGCCTCTAATCTTTTAAACAAACCGCTGAGAACTTCAGCAATTTTGAACCATTCTATCCTTTAGTCCTCCAAGAGCAAAGGAAACAAGGAAGGAAAAGCTACAGAGTCTCATTTTCAGAGTTACAAGCCCAACAAGCATGAACTGTGCATTAACCTTGCTACACGCGGTGGCCCGCTATGAGGTGCTGGTGTCCTGGCAGTCTCCTATAAAACTGATGGTCAAATTTCATAAGAAAGCTCTAACTTAACAGAAATTTGCTTTACTATAGGCCCACTGCAAGCTATTAAACAAGTTTATATATACTTACTTATATATACTTACTATACTTTAAAATTATTTTAATTTTTCATAATTTTCATTGTTTTCCTAGTTCAATTTTAATAGTTTGAATCATTAACAAACCTTCAACAGAGTGGATATTTGTAAGCACGACAATATTTCATCCTAAATAATGTAGATAGTTTAATTTAGTTCATTTTTAATATCAGAAAATTGGGACATAATTTTTGGAAATGTGAAATATAGTACTTAATGTTGTATTAATTAATTCCACATTACATAACCAAATTTCAAAATGAAAGGCAAAAACATTTGTTCATAATCTCTTCAAAAACTTTTAAAACATCAGATATCTTTAGCAACATAAAAACGTTGAGTCTCCTTCCTTTAAAAATCAAATAATTTCTATTTTTTATCTTAAAGATGTACATCCCCCAGTATGTCAGCAATTTAAAAAATCACATAAGCCTTTAGAAACTGAAAAATTGTGACAGTAATTTTTGAAGTTAAAATAAAGAAAAATACAAAGATCTTACTATGACAAAAGAATATAATTGCAAAGTTATAAGCTGAGTTCTTATAATAAATAATATAACACTTACTTATAATACTTATTATTACTTATAATAATAAAGCAATAAATTTTCTACACACATGGATTAGGTGCAAAAAAGTGATTTAGAGAAAATAGTTTCTCTTTTTTAAATTCAGCCTTTTAGTTAAAGTCTCTGAAGCATTCTATTGAGACACATTCAATACTGAGCTGAACGCAATGCTCATAACCATTAAATGACAACTTCCAGAGAGCTCATCATTCCTAAAAACTATTTGAGTAATTTTGTTGTTTTTCACATAACTAGCTCGACCAATGAGAACTGCTGAGTAAACTGACACACAGACTCTTTCGTTTCCATGCCGACGGTCAGGCGCATTGCTGGGGGGTGGGGGGCCCTCAGCCAGAGGCCCATGGGACTCAGGGAAGTGTCATCCCTACACTCCTCCCGATCTCCTGGCCCTCAACACTTCTAAAGTCGACCTGGTGACCAGTTAGGTCCCCAATGCGCATGCTCACCCCCAGCCTGGCCCACCTCTTCTTGGTGACCCCAGTGCTACTCCAGGGCAGCACCTGCTTTCAGGAGAGAAAGAGGGGAGGGCTGCTTCATCATTCATCAACATGCCCCCAACCCGTCGGCGCCTCCCCAATCTGCCTTGTCCCTCAACGTGATACTTAGTTCTCCATCCAGGGACAGAGTGTGCTCAGTGAATGAGCTTTGGGTTTGCATCCAAACCAAATGGATGGATCTTACTTTGTTCCGCTGCAAATATGAAGACTAAAGTAAAGCTACTATTCATATGCAATGAGTGTCAGGAAGGGCATTTTACTAAGGCTGCCTGACAAAGTAACTTCCCTTCGTCACGTTCATACTTCTAGTTTGTTTCCAGGACGGCTTATAGGAAGGGTTTCAACAAGACCCAGAAGGACGTTACTCCATTTTGGGACCACAGTTTAAAGGAATTTGAGCTGATGCTCTCTGCTCCCTGGGATGAGGGAGGAAAGAAAAAAATATCACAATCTTTTTTTTTTTAATCTTTTTTTAAAATTTATATTTATTTATGATAGTCACAGAGAGAGAGAGAGAGAGAGAGAGAGAGAGAGAGAGAGAGGGGCAGAGACACAGGCAGAGGGAGAAGCAGGCTCCATGCACCGGGAGCCCGATGTGGGATTCGATCCCGGGTCTCCAGGATCGCGCATGGGCCAAAGGCAGGCGCCAAACCGCTGTGCCACCCAGGGATCCCAAAATATCACAATCTTGATGAGAAGCCAACAGTGATGGTAGAGAAGAGGGAAAACAGGAAGGCTATAATAATAAAGCAAGTCTCACTGTCCATAACAAAGGTACGTGGGAACATATGAACCTACTCCCCACCTCTCTTATCTTGGCCACGGCAGCCCCACTGTCATACGCTATATGCCAAGCAATGGAAATGCCAACAGCATCCGCGAGAAAGATGGAAAAATGTTGAGTTTAAAAGAAAGTTTTTTGACCCATTTCCAGGGAGGGCAGACCAAATTTGAAACCCTAAATGCAATTTTCTATAGGAGCATTCTTTCTAGTGATGAACTGGTGAAATATTCTAGAACTAGATAGTCATACACACACACACACACACACACACACACACACACACACACACACGTATTTATGTATTCTATAGAGTTTTCATTGAGTCAGCCTAGAGGTTGAACCAAGATGGACTTACAAATAAAAATCAGTATATGGTTGAGCACACGGACTCCCATGTCATAGGCTGCCTTCTTGCCCTGCTAATATTTGCTCTACAAGCTTTGATGTAGCCCCACTCATCTGCTTCTTTTTTTTTTGCCTCTGATATTCCTTTTATATCAAATAAATCACAGCCAAGCAAATGTCATAATGTTTTCCCCTAAGTTTTCATCTACGAGATCTAGGGTTGAAACTTCTGTTTGTTTCTTTTATCCATTTTGGGATTTTATGTGTCCACGTATCTGCATAATGTAAGATAAGGATCAAGTGTCATTATTTTGCATGTGGCTATACAACACCATTTTTTATAGACACTGTCCTTTCCCCATTGTGTATGAAACAAAATCTTAGAAACAAAAATTCTTTTTCTATAAGTCTGCAAGTGCCATAATTGTGTTCCAGTTTATAGCATCGTGCTATAAGTTATACAGTAAACATTTTTAATGCAAAATAAAATATATACTTTATTGGAAATATCAGTAGCACAGATGATTCAAGAAGAAAAAAAGTCTTCTAAATATATTTTGTCAGAAAAAATATTGTCTTAAATTCCATCTTCCTCTTCCAAAAGATTCCCTTAGCCAAAATCATGAAAGAATGGCATCATACATGGTATTGGGGGAAAGATTTCAAATCTATGATAAACCAAAAGTAAATAATTTAAATATTTGAGAGTTGTCTGCAGAGACAGCCATTCATTTTAGTGTCTGAAATTCAGCTGTGCCCCTCCCAGTGGAAACCCTTGCGATGCAACATAAAAAACCAAAGCCAGTCTCGTTAACAGTCCAGGATCTATAATGAAGTGGATTGGCTTAGGTCATGAAATCTAACCTCAGTAAATAGTGATCAATAAGGATGAAAGAAATATGATGTCACAACGAGAAAAAGAACAAACGGAGGGATGGCTTATTCTACAAAACACCAGGGAAAAGAGCAACATGGCAAAACAGCTCTTTTCTGAGCCACCTACATGATTTTGATTTTTTTTAATTAGCATCTTTTATCTGTATCATGTTTTAAAATATTGATGGAGGATATTACAAACATCCCAGAGCTGATGACCCGAGATGCTTTATTACCATGAAGTCTCGTTTCTAAGGAAAATATGCACATGATCTATATACTTACTGGAGACGTTGATACTTGGGTTACTCTTAGCTGGCTTTCCAAATCTTGTACTTTGTTTTTAAGTTCCATATTTTCGGCTTCTAAGTCTTGAATCTAAAAAGCAATGATTATTGAATAATCTTCAAATTTATTCTTGGGAAATATTGGCTATTATATCGGCTACATTAATGAATAGGACTTTATATTATTTGAAATTTTAATGTACTCTTATGCACAAGGGAGAACATTACTTGATAATGACTGGGACATATCAGGAGATTCTAGATCACGGGAATTTTATTAAATTTAAAATGTTCTTACATGTGTGTAAATCCCATGTTTCTAATACCTCATCTGTGTGTTTTCTCGTTGCACTGTGCAGTCTGTTACCCATAATCCTGGAGTATAACCGCAAGACAGTGAAACTTGCTTATGATGATTTTGAAGACAGTGGAGAAAGGGTGTAATTTAATTACAAAGGAATCTGATCTGCATGGGAAACCACTTACCCAGCATCTGCTGCTTCTGCTGCTCTGATCCCCATGAGAAGCATCAGGAAGTGAAGCAAAGTCACATGAGAACACTAAGTTCTTGTGGGAATTCAATATAAAATGGTTAAAAACTGTGCAGGGGATCAGGAATGAAAAATTATAGGAACACAGTAAAGCAGTTCCAATCGGTGTGGGGGGGGAATTTAATGGCAGGCCTTCTAAATGTGTTTGATGATATGCAAGTTTCCCTGTAGTTACATGACATAAACGTTAGAGTTTAGTTTACTCACTCTTTTCTGTAATCCCGCAATCTGTTTTCTGGTTTCAACATCTTTTCCTCCAGATTCTAGAAACTTCCTGTATGCCAGGTCAAATGCTTGGCCAATTGTTAAAGTTATTTCTTCAGCCTTTGTAAAAATCAAAGATTTCATATGTCAGACTGTTCTTTGAATCAAGGAAAACATTCACATGAGGTACTTCAAAGGGGCAACGGCTGTAGGTAGAGATGTGGTAAATGAATCAGGTCGTCTGTGTTAACGTAATTCAATGTTTATTCATGCACAAAACTAAAAAAAAAATTCTAATTAAATGAGTAGCTGTTGAAGTTGGAAGGGAGAGTTCTATCCACCTTCTCATCTTTTGTCTTAGTATTTTTTTCCTAGTTTGTTTTCCTTCTTTCCTGAATATTTTTTTGGTGCCTATTAAATGAAAGCACAGTGCCAACTGCAGTTTCTCTTGTTGCTTTGCTACTTATTTCCTCTTCCTAATGAAGAGGGCTGGCTAACCCTGGCAGGTAACTCGAATGAGGCTGACGGGGTGGTGTTGTGGAAAACCTGAGGTGTGCCCTCTCCAAGTGGAATACTCAGTTCCAGTTAGTTGTTGGCTTGTGGAAATGAACAATTCCAACCCACAGTTGTCAGATTGTAAATATGTGAGATGAGGTCAGAAACCTGAATTTTTATATGAAAGTTCTCCATTGTAAATGATAGTAAACCTTATAATGTAAAACACAGCACCTGCTGAACGAAATACAACTGTCCTCTGAATTTGGCCTCATAAACAACTGACGGTTTGGTCGGTTAATCAGAAACCGTTCTCAATGCCCCCAAGTCCACCAGTTCATTCCTTCCTCATTCATATCTTGACTGGAATATGTCTTGCATGATGTAAACACTAAATAAAAATCTATTTACCTTATTGATATTTAAAAAGATTAGTAAAGGCATCAATTGACTTCATGCATCATGAATATATATTTAATTATAAGATTTCCAGACGACATAAAAACTGGTGGTAATAATCAATCTTGAATAGACCATGCTTTAATTTACTGTGAATCCTAAAACTTTGTGATATGCTATGAATAATCTTTTTTTTTTTAATTTTATTTATTTATTTATTTATTTATTTATTTATTTATTTATTTATTTTAATTTATGATAGAGAGAGAGAGAAGCAGAGACATAGGCAGAGGGAGAAGCAGGCTCCATGCACCAGGAGCCCGACGTGGGATTCGATCCCGGGTCTCCAGGATCGCGCCCTGGGCCAAAGGCAGGCGCCAAACCGCTGCGCCACCCAGGGATCCCTGCTATGAATAATCTAAATTGAAAATAGACTTCATTTATTTGGGGAATATAAATAATAGTAAAAGGGAATAGAAGGGAAGGGAGAAGAAATGGGTAGGAAATATCAGAAAGGGAGACAGAACATGAGAGACTCCTAACTCCGGGAAACGAACTAGGGGTGGTGGAAGGGGAGGTGGGAGAGGGGTGGGGGTGACTGGGTGACGGGCACTGAAGGGGGCACTTGACAGGATGAGCACTGGGTGTTATTCTGTACATTGGCAAATTGAACACCAATAAAAAATAAATTATTAAAAAAACCCAAACAAATAAATAAATAAGAAAAATAAAAATAAAAATAAAAAATAAAAAAATGAAAATAGACTTCATTAATAACACCGATTTTTTTTCTTAATGTTTCAAGTTTTTATTTAAATTCTACTTAGTTCACATATAGTGAAATATTGGTTTTGGGAGTGGAACCTAGTGATTCACCACTATAACAGCCACTGCTCATCCCAACAAGTGTCCTTAATGCCCATCACTCATTTAGCGCACTCCCCCACCCACCTCCCCGCCAGTGACCGTCCATTTGTTTTCTATAGTTAAGAGTCTCTTTTATGAATAACATGGATTTAATTAAGACATTGTCATTTATGTAGTGCACTACTTGTTTAAGAAAGGCTTTTAGTCATAAAAAAATCATAGTCTAACCCAGTTAACTGAACGATACAAAATATATGCCTAAGATTATACATAAGAACTATCTGTCTTACAAACAAGTAGAAGGGGGAAAAAAAAAGAAGCTACATTAAGGAATATTAAAGAGATGAAAATGCCAGATACCAAACTATGTGTACTCAGTGGTTCAAACTAACAAAAAAGTGTACACATAAAAAAATTAGTTGCATTGAATGTTGGGATCACATATAATATCAGAACATGGTAAATGTGATTATAATAGGTTATGGGACTATCAGTTTTTTTTTAGTATCTCTAACTTCAAAACTTTAGGTAATGTATTGGTATTTGTTTTATGATAATAAGACATATGTGTAAACTATGTTTGTTTTGCTACCTTCTTAATTATGGGTTCAGTGTCTTCTTACTAAGATAGTAATATGTTACCCTCAACTACTCCAGGTGTACATTACAGAGAATCATTTCAGTGGTAGTAAGGCTGATCTATCATTAATAGATTTGACTTCATTATTTGTTCACAATAACTTTTAAAAATCACATTCTCTTTTTATAATAAGCCATATCTTTTGTAATAAGATATCTTTTTTATTAAAATGGCATTTAGCGGGCAGCCCGGGTGGCCCAGCGGTTTAGCGCCACCTTCAGCCCAGGGCGTGATCCTGGAGACCTGGGATCGAGTCCCGTGACAGGCTCCCTCTGCCTGTGTCTCTGCCTCCTTCTCTATCATGAAAAAATGAATAAAATCTTTTTAAAAAATGGCATTTAGCTCCCTAGAAAATATTTTGCATATATCACCTCACTTGATTCTCATAGTGAATCTATGAAGTGGGAATTATTATTATCCCCAAAATATATACGCAACCTCAGTTCTGTGAGGTCTCAGTTTGCGAGTGGAGAAACTGGATTCAAATCTAAAATATTTCACTCTACAAGCCCTGATTTTTTAATAAACAATAAAACATCAGAGATCATATCTGCACAATCAGTTGTGTTTTTGATAAACGTACGTACCTATGTAACCACTGTATCGTTAAAGGTATGGAGTATTTCTATCTACCACCCCCGAAAGCTCTCTCCTACGTACTTCTAGTCAATCACGGTTCTTATGCGTAACCATTGCTAGACTTCCCTCACCATAAATCAGTTTTCTCTGTCCTTGTATCCATAAAAATGAGCCATATAATACACATTCTTTTCTGTCTGGCTTCTTGCGGAGTTTCTCAGACGTTGTGTGTATCGTTTGCTTTATTGATGACTCGTGCTCCATCCAATGAATATACCACATTGATTTATCTACTTGGCCTGTAAGGAACACTTGCATTGTTTTCGACTCTTAGTTATAAATAAAACTGCTACAAACACTCTTCTAAAATCTTTTCATGGACATCTGTTTTCAAAAATCTGGATAAATATCTAAAATGGAAATGCTAAATCATGGAACGGCTCTGTTTTAACATTACAGGAAATTGCCAAACTGTTTTTGCAAAGTAACTGCACCATTTTATGTTCCCACCAGCAGAAAAAGAGCTCTAGTTGCTCCTCATTCTGACCAGTATCATATGTCGACAGTCTTCCTAGTTGGTCACCTTACTGGATGAAGTGGTGCTATCTCAATGTGCTTTTAACTTGAATTTCCCTGTTGAATAATTACATTAGCCCAGGTCCATGAATCACTAAGCTAAGAATATTAATTTTCCCTCCTTGATCATTTAATGAAATATAAAGAGCAAGAACATTTTTTTAAAAATTCTAAAACATTTAATTCAAAAAATTATTACAAGGTAAACATGAAATATAGCAAGAATATATAATAAGTACCTTACAAAAAAATAAAGCTTGTGAAAAGACTGGATGCAAAAATTCCTTCTAGGGATAAATGTATGATTTTTATGACACGTGAACCTTTTTTTTTTTTTTTACAATTTGTTAACAAGTAAGAGAGGTTTTAAGCTTTGCCTTATGTACATCTCACATAATTAAAAATATGCCCGTGGGGGGGAGGCTCATTAAGGCTACTAGTTAAAGTTTATCAAGTGTACGCGCACCTGAGGGTGCAGTCAGGTGAGCAGCTGACTCTTGACTCTTGGTTTTGGCTCAGATCATGATCTCAGGGTCGTGACCTCAACCCCTGCATCAGGCTCCATGCTTAGCACAGAGTCGGTTTCAGAATCTCTCTCCCCCTCCCTCTGCCCCTCTCCACGTGTGCTCACTCTCTCTTTTTCTCAAAAATAAATAAATAAATAAATAAATAAATAAATCTTTTAAAAAATTATCAAGTGTGATATCCAGTGAATAAAGTATAATATATTAATATCTGGAAACAAAACTTTGAAAAAAATGATGGCTAAGCAGTTGGTATTCGCCATACATGGAATCAATGAGGGCAATCACATCATAATGATTATCTACATTCTAATTTTAACTTTTAAATTTCATGGGATGAGTACGGCAGTTGTACAGATGTTCAGTCTTAATGACACGACGTGACCCTAGTAAGGTGAGCTGCGGTTTTGTTGCATTCGAGGACAGGCCTTCACGTCGAACAAGCTCTGAGAGCCTCACAGAAGTACTGAGGGCACAAGACGCCAGGAGTCAAGAGGGCGAAGACCCCGCTGGGCGCAGGGGATCCGGGGGTCACGGTCGCCGCAGCAAGAGGCCCTGCTGGCAGGACGGGGAGTGGGAATCCAGGGCCTCGGCCTGCAGCCCGATTCCCTCACTGCCCAGCTTTCCTGATGCTGACGGAGCCACTGACTCTCTGCCCAGATTTCCTTGAAGGGAGACGACAGGCTTGGATCAAAGAGGACACAGCTTATGGCCCAGGGGTTTCCCTCCAGACTGATAATGTGGTTGTAGGACAGGACGCCGAGGGGTGGTGAGTCCGTCACCTGCTCTCCCTGGTGCAAACGCACCATCTGCCTCTGGTACACATCTCACTGACCAACCCTGATGTGGACGCCATCCAGGCACAGAGTAGGCCCCGGCCATAGGCCTGTGGCACCCTGCTGCTCCACGGCCTCCCCTGAGGAACCCCGGTCTGCCCTCATGGCTTTCCCACTGTCACCTCAAGGCCATGGAGGGGAGTCACGCCGCACGTGGGCCTCTGACACGGACTCTCTTCACTCCACGGTCAGCAGGCTGGCCAC